CCCCCGGGCCCCTGCCTCTTCCCAGCCTCTCCTGTTACAGCGGAGGGTTGCGCAATCGGCCGGTGGGCGTGGCGCTCTGGAGCCGGGGCTCCCCCTCGGTACCCGCAGGGCTGTGTCTGACCATCTGTGCGCGTCCCATGGAGCCTCGCTGGGGTCCCCTCTGTGACCCCGGCTCTGGGCCCTGCGCTCCCATAGTGACCATGGAAGGAGCAGTCACTGGGGCTGCCCTGCCACCTCCAGGAGCAGTCTGGCTGGTTAACATGGTGGGTTGAGGGGAACAGGCCCCCTTGCTGAGGGGGTACCCGCAGGGCTGTGTCTGACCATCTGTGCGCGTCCCATGGAGCCTCGCTGGGGTCCCCTCTGTGACCCCGGCTCTGGGCCCTGCGCTCCCATAGTGACCATGGAAGGAGCAGTCACTGGGGCTGCCCTGCCACCTCCAGGAGCAGTCTGGCTGGTTAACATGGTGGGTTGAGGGGAACAGGCCCCCTTGCTGAGGGGGCAGAGGTAGCGTGGAGGAAAGAGCCCGGCCTGGAGGCTACATCTTGTGTCCACCCCTGTGTCCCCAGGAATGGCCACCGCTGTCCAATGCGCGGATTCAGCGGGCTCTGTTCAGCGGGCGTTGGCTGGCTGGAAGCAGTGACGCCCCGATGGGTATGGGGCCGAGAGACGGGGGTGTCTGGCCTCCCTTGTGGAGTGGGAGCGGCGGGGGCTTTGCTAGGGAGCGGAATGGGATTGTGCCGGGGGTGGGGGTGGAGAGCTGCAGGCCAGCTGGCCCTTTGCACGAGAGAAGCATCGTGCACTTGGCATGGGATGCAGGCTCCCTGCTAGGCACAGGAGAGCTGTTCTTGAGCTCTCCGCAGCAGGGCGCCTGCCCCGACCTCTCTCCCTCTTGGTGCTGGTTTATGCTGCCCAGGTCCAGCCCTTCTTGCCTGGCCGGCAGTGTCGCTGTGCCTCCCGCAGGACGGACGGCTGATGTGTCCGTGTCTCTGTGCCAGGCATTGCCACAGCCGTTGCACTGAGCCGCCCTGCAGCCAAGCTGGGACGATGAAGCTCTTGGAGAACTCAAGGTTTGAAGCAATAAACTCTCAGCTGACGGTGGAGACGGGAGACGCTCACATCATTGGCAGGTGAGTACTGTCGAAGGTTGCTTCCGTGCTTCCCCAGAGGCGCCGCCTCTTCGCCCGCCCTTCCCGTGGCGCAGGGAGAGCTGGGGAGCTGCCTCCCCGGAGAAGGCGTAAAGCTAAGAGAGCGTTGAACGGTGCTGTCAGGTGACTGTGTCCCTGGGGTGGAAGGAACCTTACGGTCTTTGCTCTCGGCCTCTGCCCAGCTGTCTGTGACGCTCCGCCTGCCGTGGGGGTCTCGGGCACACAGCTCAGCTTTCTGCTCCCAGCCTCCGTGCAGTCACCTGGGTTCGCTGCCTCCACTCCAGCCGGCTGCCCCACTTAGCGGAACTGCTGCTCTGAGCGGCTCGCGGGCGAGTGGGATGGGAAGGGGCCTGAGTCCCGCCGGCCCCCCCTTCCACACGACGCAGCAAAGGGGACAGTGGATTTGGGACGCAAAGGCTGCCGCTGTGCTCCCTGGCCTGCGGCTGGTGCCCGTCCTTAGCCCTCTGCCCGCCTCGGTGCCACTGTTTGCCTTGGAGGTCCTGCTCCTGCCAAAGGGCAGAGGGACATGGGGCAGGGCTGCCCTCGCTCTGGCTCTCCAGGCGTGTGGGCAGGAGGCAGACTGGAGGGATGGCTCTCCAGGCGGGTGGGCAGGAGGCAGACCGGAGGGATGGCTCTCCAGGCGGGTGGGCAGGAGGCAGACCGGAGGGATGGCTCTCCGGGCGCGTGGGCAGGAGGCAGACCGGAGGGATGGCTCTCCGGGCGCGTGGGCAGGAGGCAGACCGGAGGGATGGCTCTCCGGGCGCGTGGGCAGGAGGCAGACCGGAGGGATGGCTCTCCGGGCGCGTGGGCAGGAGGCAGACCGGAGGGATGGCTCTCCGGGCGCGTGGGCAGGAGGCAGACCGGAGGGATGGCTCTCCGGGCGCGTGGGCAGGAGGCAGACCGGAGGGATGGCTCTCCGGGCGCGTGGGCAGGAGGCAGACCGGAGGGATGGCTCTCCGGGCGCGTGGGCAGGAGGCAGACCGGAGGGATGGCTCTCCGGGCGCGTGGGCAGGAGGCAGACCGGAGGGATGGCTCTCCGGGCGCGTGGGCAGGAGGCAGACCGGAGGGATGGCTCTCCGGGCGCGTGGGCAGGAGGCAGACCGGAGGGATGGCTCTCCGGGCGCGTGGGCAGGAGGCAGACCGGAGGGATGGCTCTCCGGGCGCGTGGGCAGGAGGCAGACCGGAGGGATGGCTCTCCGGGCGCGTGGGCAGGAGGCAGACCGGAGGGATGGCTCTCCGGGCGCGTGGGCAGGAGGCAGACCGGAGGGATGGCTCTCCGGGCGCGTGGGCAGGAGGCAGACCGGAGGGATGGCTCTCCGGGCGCGTGGGCAGGAGGCAGACCGGAGGGATGGCTCTCCGGGCGCGTGGGCAGGAGGCAGACCGGAGGGATGGCTCTCCGGGCGCGTGGGCAGGAGGCAGACCGGAGGGATGGCTCTCCGGGCGCGTGGGCAGGAGGCAGACCGGAGGGATGGCTCTCCGGGCGCGTGGGCAGGAGGCAGACCGGAGGGATGGCTCTCCGGGCGCGTGGGCAGGAGGCAGACCGGAGGGATGGCTCTCCGGGCGCGTGGGCAGGAGGCAGACCGGAGGGATGGCTCTCCGGGCGCGTGGGCAGGAGGCAGACCGGAGGGATGGCTCTCCGGGCGCGTGGGCAGGAGGCAGACCGGAGGGATGGCTCTCCGGGCGCGTGGGCAGGAGGCAGACCGGAGGGATGGCTCTCCGGGCGCGTGGGCAGGAGGCAGACCGGAGGGATGGCTCTCCGGGCGCGTGGGCAGGAGGCAGACCGGAGGGATGGCTCTCCGGGCGCGTGGGCAGGAGGCAGACCGGAGGGATGGCTCTCCGGGCGCGTGGGCAGGAGGCAGACCGGAGGGATGGCTCTCCGGGCGCGTGGGCAGGAGGCAGACCGGAGGGATGGCTCTCCGGGCGCGTGGGCAGGAGGCAGACCGGAGGGATGGCTCTCCGGGCGCTCCCTGGCTCTGGCTCTCCTGCTGCCACGGGTGCTGCACCAGCCTCCCTTTGAACCATTCTAGTGAGCAGAGCCTCAGCCTGGCCGCTCTGTGCCGGGAAGAGCCGGCCGCCCGTCAGCTAGTGGCTTCCATGGGGCAGGGGGGGAGCTGGCCCAGCCCTGGAGCGTGATGCGAGTGGGGGGGGGTCATCTTTGCTGCAGCATGGGCACCTAGGCTAGCAGGCAGCTCGGCTGCCGTCAGCTGGGTCGGGCTTTACAGCCACTGGAGCGCAGCGCTATAAGGGCTTCCCCTGCCCGGCCAACGGGGCTCGGCGGCTGCCCTCCCCCAGCGAGCAGGCATCTGGCAGTGCCATGCCCCTGGCCAGCCTGGTGCTGGTTTGGGCAGAGGGCTTGGGTCAAGGACGCCAGCTCAGCCCCTGCAGTGCTGCTGGGGAGATGTGGGGAGCTCTCCCGATCGGGGTTCCAGACCTGGGGCTGGCCTGAACGTGATGTTTGGGAGTTGCGCTCCGAGTGGCCGTGGGGCCGGCTGGCGGTGCCCAGCAGGGTGGGTTTGCTCCCAGTCTGTCTGCAGCTGGCTGGGCTGCTTGCATGGGAGGGCCCAGCCTGGCTCAGGCCAGGTCTGCATTGGAGCCTGCCCCCGTGAAATGAAACTGGATCTTGCTGCACCATGCAGAAACCCAGAGCTGGGAGGGACCTCCAGAGGCATCGAGTCCGGCCCCCTGCTCCCGGCTAGCCCATCCCTGACAGGTGTGTGTCCAAACTGCTCTCCGGGGATGGAGACTCCACAGCCTCCCCAGGCAATGTAACCCCCCGACAGGCAGGACGCTCTTGCTAATGTCCCGCCTTAACCTCCCTGGCTGCAGTCTAAGCCCAGAGCTGCTTGTCCTGTCCTCAGAGGCCAAGGGGAACAAGATTTCTTCCTCCTCCCTGACACCCTTTTAGGTGCCTGAAAACCTCTCGTGGCCCCGCTGAGGCTCATGCCCGGCCTGCAGGCCCAGCAGCACACTTCCCCTCACATGCTCAGTGCCAGGGAGCCCTGCCAGTGCCTGGCTGTGACTTCGGGCTGGAGGCGGCACTGCGCTAGTGACCGCTGGCAGCGCGTGCAGCTCGTCACAGGGCAGCCAGGAGGGGTCTGCCCAGGATGGCCAGAGGGCCCGTGGACGTGTGTCCAGAAACAGATGGCATTGGACGTGCGTCTCCCTGCTCCCCTTGAGCCCAGACAGTGCAGCCAGGGAGTGACAAGAATTGAAAGTGAAACCGATTGGCTGTCGGCGCAGAACGGACAAATGCAAAGTGCTCCACTGGGGGAGGAACAGCCCCTTTCACACACACAACGGGAAGCGACTCTAGGAAGGATCCTGCACAAAGGGACCTGGGGTCAGAGTGGATCACAAGCTCAGTGAGTCAACAGTGGGACACTTGCCAAAAAAAAAAAGCAAATGTCATTCTGGGTGGCATTAGTAAGGGTCTGTCTACACTAGCCCCCTAGTTCGAACTAGGGTGGTAATGTAGGCAACCGGCTACACGCGGCACAGACTAGGTAGTTCGGACTAGGCTTCCTATTCCGAACTACCTGTACTCCTCGTTTCACGCAGTGCGCACTAGCGGACATTTAAAAATGGAGGCGGCTTTATGCAAATGAAGCCCAGGAAATTCAAATCCCGGGCTTCATTTGCAGCTCCGGTTGCCTAGTTCGAACTAGGGGGCTAGTGTAGACATACCCTAAGAGTGTTGTGAGCCAGACACGAGGAGTCATTCTTCCGCTCTGCGCTGGTCAGGCCTCAGCTGGAGCGCTGTGTCCAGTTCTGGGCTCCACGTCTCAGGACAGATGTGGAGAAACTGGAGAAGGTCCAGAGAAGAGCAACAAACATGATGAAAGGCCTAGAGAACATGAGCGAGGAGGGAAGAGTGAAGAATCGGGTGTGTTCCGTCTAGAGGAGAGAGGACTGAGAGGGGACATGACCGTTTTCAGGTACCTAAAAGATTGTTACTAAGAGGAGGGAGAAAACTTGTTCTCCCTAACCTCCGAAATAGGACAAGCAGCACTGGGCTTCAGCTGCAGCCAGGGAGGTCTAGGTTGGCCATAAAGAAAAGCGTCCTGCCCGCCAGGGTGGTTACGCACGGGGATAAGTTGCCCGGGGAGGCTGTGGAGTCTCCGTCCCTGGAGACGTCCAAGAGCAGGTTGGACAGACACCTCTCCAGGATGGTAGATGGTGCTGGGTCCTGTGGCGAGGGCGGGGGCTGGACCGGATGCCGCTCGAGGCCCCTGCAGTGCTAGTGAGCTGTGATTGGAAGATGGAAAGGCCGAGGGGAAGGAGTGTTGGCACAGGGCCAGGGCTGTGCGAGGTGCCAGCGTTGGGGTCCCGTCAGCGGCGTGTCTGCAGAGAGGGCTCTGCGGCTGAGCCGTGGCACGGGCGCTTCAGTCATTCATCCACCTCCGATGGGCGGTAGCGCAGTCGCCTGTCCGGTTCTTCCGTGTTTCAGGGGTAGCTCTGGGTGCGAAAGCTTCCGCCCTGAGCAGTGCCCCTACGTCGGTGTCGCTGGTGAGCGGAGTCCTGGCCTGAGGCTGATTTCGGAGCTGAGGACGGCTGGGTGGGGGGAAGAGCCGAATTCCTTGGGCTGCAGATCCGCCTCCACGCAGCTCCCCTGCTCCTGAGGGCTCGGAAGCCGCCTGGGCCTGTAGGCAGCCCTCGGAGTCGCTTTCATAGTACTCTGGCCTCCGCTGGGCCAGGGCCCGAGAGCAAACTCTCCCGGTGGCCGTGCCCCTGCCAGGCCAGCACCCTCCTCTGCCTCCCAGCCTTGTGTCTGTGCACCCCTCGCATTCCCGGCGTCCCTCAGGCCTCTCTCTGCCAAGGCAAAGGGTGTGGCGCAGCACCACGGATATCCTTCCGCCCCTGGGCTGGCCCTGGGAAAGGGACCCACAGCCGCCCCGTGACAGTGGCTGGCTGGTCGCTGTCACCCGGAACCAGGGGCAGTGTTGGCGAGTTGCCCCAGTGGGGACGGTGTGTGGGAGGGGCCGTTCTGAGCCCGTCACTGGCAGCAGCTGACTTTTCTGTGTGATCAGGATGCTGCAGAGATCCGGGGGCTTTCTGCCCCTGGGCTCTGAGCCCTCTGTGCCCTTGGCGGGGAGCTGGGGGCACCTGGGCGTGTTCCCCGTCGGGTTTCTGGGACCTGCTCAGCCTCGCCCCGCGCACTCCAGCCCCGGTGGCCAGGCCCGCAGGTGCCCCCTTCGCTAGGGCCAGTCGCGCTGTTAGGCCACCGCTTGGGCAAGGATTTGTCCAGTTCCAAGTAGCCGGATTTCAGTTAGAACCCGGAGCACAAGCTGCACGGAGCTCACTGGTGCGTTCATTACCCGCCTTTCCGCGGTGAGAAGCAGAGCCCGGGGTTCCTGGTCACCTCGCACAAGCTGCACGGAGCTCACTGGTGCGTTCGTTACCCGCCTTTCCGCGGTGAGAAGCAGAGCCCGGGGTTCCTGGTCACCTCGCACAAGCTGCACGGAGCTCACTGGTGCGTTCATTACCCGCCTTCCCGCGGTGAGAAGCAGAGCCCGGGGTTCCTGGTCACCTCGCACAAGCTGCACGGAGCTCACTGGTGCGTTCATTACCCGCCTTCCCGCGGTGAGAAGCAGAGCCCGGGGTTCCTGGTCACCTCGCACAAGCTGCACGGAGCTCACTGGTGCGTTCGTTACCCGCCTTTCCGCGGTGAGAAGCAGAGCCCGGGGTTCCTGGTCACCTCGCACAAGCTGCACGGAGCTCACTGGTGCGTTCATTACCCGCCTTCCCGCGGTGAGAAGCAGAGCCCGGGGTTCCTGGTCACCTCGCACAAGCTGCACGGAGCTCACTGGTGCGTTCATTACCCGCCTTCCCGCGGTGAGAAGCAGAGCCCGGGGTTCCTGGTCACCTCGCACAAGCTGCACGGAGCTCACTGGTGCGTTCGTTACCCGCCTTTCCGCGGTGAGAAGCAGAGCCCGGGGTTCCTGGTCACCTCGCACAAGCTGCACGGAGCTCACTGGTGCGTTCATTACCCGCCTTTCCGCGGTGAGAAGCAGAGCCCGGGGTTCCTGGTCACCTCGCACAAGCTGCACGGAGCTCACTGGTGCGTTCATTACCCGCCTTTCCGCGGTGAGAAGCAGAGCCCGGGGTTCCTGGTCACCTCGCACAAGCTGCACGGAGCTCACTGGTGCGTTCGTTACCCGCCTTTCCGCGGTGAGAAGCAGAGCCCGGGGTTCCTGGTCACCTCGCACAAGCTGCACGGAGCTCACTGGTGCGTTCATTACCCGCCTTCCCGCGGTGAGAAGCAGAGCCCGGGGTTCCTGGTCACCTCGCACAAGCTGCACGGAGCTCACTGGTGCGTTCATTACCCGCCTTTCCGCGGTGAGAAGCAGAGCCCGGGGTTCCTGGTCACCTCGCACAAGCTGCACGGAGCTCACTGGTGCGTTCGTTACCCGCCTTTCCGCGGTGAGAAGCAGAGCCCGGGGTTCCTGGTCACCTCGCACAAGCTGCACGGAGCTCACTGGTGCGTTCATTACCCGCCTTTCCGCGGTGAGAAGCAGAGCCCGGGGTTCCTGGTCACCTCGCACAAGCTGCACGGAGCTCACTGGTGCGTTCATTACCCGCCTTTCCGCGGTGAGAAGCAGAGCCCGGGGTTCCTGGTCACCTCGCACAAGCTGCACGGAGCTCACTGGTGCGTTCGTTACCCGCCTTTCCGCGGTGAGAAGCAGAGCCCGGGGTTCCTGGTCACCTCGCACAAGCTGCACGGAGCTCACTGGTGCGTTCATTACCCGCCTTTCCGCGGTGAGAAGCAGTACTCCTGCAAGATGGCGGGGGACGACAAGCACATGTTCAAGCAGTTCTGCCAAGAGGGCCAGCCACACGTCCTGGAAGCCCTGTCGCCCCCGCAGACCACGGGCATCAGCCCCAGCAGGTAGGCTGCCCCCGCGGGAAGCAATCGGCTCGGCAAAGGCCACTGTTGGACTGCGGGGTAGCTGCTCTCGGCCCGCTGCGCACAGGCAGCCTGGGCTAGTGCTCCCTCCTCCCCAGCCCTCCGCTGAGACGCAGCCGTGCGTGCTGGTCCGGTGGGCGCCCAGCGCTGGGCTCGGGCGTGCCAAGCCTGGCGAGCCGGCCTTCGGGTGGGGGTGCGTGCACAGTCCCCCCCAGCTCGCACTCTGCGAAATGCTCCCCCCACTCCCCGGGCCTGAGCCCTGTTTGCTGGGCTCTGGGAATGTCCCTGGGCGGAGCCGGGAGCTCTTTGCTCAGGCAGGCTCCCTCTCCCTGGGTGGGGCGGGGCGAGGGAGCAGCTGCCTGCCTCGCTGCCTTGTGTTTGCAGGCACTGCAAGAGTCAGAGTGGGGACGAGGAGGGGCCCCTGAGTGACAAGTGCAGCCGCAAGACCCTCTTCTACCTGATCGCCACCCTCAACGAGTCCTTCCGGCCCGACTACGACTTCAGCGCCGCCAAGAGCCACGAGTGGCCCGGATTTCAGCGGGGAGCCGAGCCTCAACTGGGTACGGGCCAGCAACACCGCCGGGGCGGGGATCTCGGGACTCGCTCCCTGCAGTGTGCGGGGCCTCGGGCCTGGCATCACAGACTCAGGGCTCTAGAACGGGAAGAGTCCAGTCCCCTGCCCTCCCAGCAGAACCCGGCACTGTCTGAGCCACCCCTGGCAGGAGTGTCCAGCCTGCTCTGAGACAGCTCCAGGAGAGTCCACCACCCCCCGGCAACGTATCCCAGCGGGATCTCGGGACTCGCTCCCTGCAGTGTGCGGGGCCTCGGGCCTGGCATCACAGACTCAGGGCTCTAGAACGGGAAGAGTCCAGTCCCCTGCCCTCCCAGCAGAACCCGGCACTGTCTGAGCCACCCCTGGCAGGAGTGTCCAGCCTGCTCTGAGACAGCTCCAGGAGAGTCCACCACCCCCCGGCAACGTATCCCAGCGTTTCACCCCCCGACAGCCAGGAAGCTTTTCCTAATGTCCCACCTCAACCTCCCTGGCTGCAGTTTAAGCCCCTTGCTGCTTGTCCTGTGCTCAGAGACCAAGGGGAACAATTTCCCCCCTTCCCTGAGACCCCCTTTTAGATGCTGAAAACCGCTCTCGTGTCCCCTCAGTGTTCTCCTTTCCAAACGAAACCAGCCCAGTTCCTTCAGCCTCCCCTCCTAGCTCCTGTTCTCTGGCCTTTCATCATTCTCGTTGCTCTTCTCTGGACCCTCCCCAATTTCTCCTCATCCTTCTTGAAATGCGGCGCCCAGAACTGGACACAGGACTCCAACTGAGGCCTAACCAGCGCAGAGTAGAGCGGAAGAACGACTCCTCGTGTCTGGCTCACCACACTCTGTCAGTGCAGCCCAGAATCACGTTTGCTTTTCTTGCCCCAGGGCCACACTGTTGACTTCTGTTGAGGTTGTGGTCCACTCTGAGCCCTAGATCCCTTTGTGCAGGACTCCTTCCTAGACAGTCGCTTCCCGTTCTGTGTGTGCGAAAGGGATTCACCCTATTTGCCTCAGACCATTTCTCTAGTTTGTTCAGGTCATTTTGAATTCTGACCCATCCTCCAGAGCACTCACAACCCCTCCCAGCTTGGGATCAGCTGCAAACTTAATAAGCATCCTCTCTATGCCAATATCGAAAGCATCGATGAAGAACTTGAACAGAACCAGCCCCAAAACAGACCCCTGAAGAACCCCACTTGTTCTGCCCTTCCAGCATGACTGAACCGTTAATACCTACTCCCTGAGAACGGTTCTCCAGCCAGTTCTGCACACACCTTACTGCAGCCCCATCTAGGTTGTATTTGCCTAGTTTATTGCTAAGAAGATCATGCTAGACTGTGTCAAATGCCTCACTAAAGTCTAGTAGTAGAGAGGGAGCCGTGTTAGTCTGATCTTGCTAAAACAAAAGGAACAACTATGTAGCAGACCTGAGGAAGTGGGTCTGGCCACGAAAGCTCATCACCTAGTAAACCATCTTGTTAGTCTTTAAAATGCTGCGTAGTTTTTCCTTTTGTTTTTACTAAAGTCTGGGTATCCCATGGCCACCGCTTCTCCCTTAGCCACAAGGCTCGTTATCCTGTCAAAGAAAGCGATCCGATTGGTTTGACACGATTTGTTCTTTCCAAATCCAGGCTGGCTGTTCCCTGTCACCCTATTTTCTTCCAGATATTTGCAGATGGATTCCTTAATTACTTGCTTCATTATCTTCCCTGGCACAGAAGTTAGTGACCGGTCTGTAGTTTCCTGGGCTGTTCCTATTTCCCTTCGAATAGCTGGGCACTAGACTTGCCCCTTTCCAGGCTTCTGGAATCTCTCCCGACTTCCCTGACTTTTCACAGCTGGTCGCTAGAGGCTCAGACCCCTCCTCTGCCCTGGGGCCGTGCAGACTCTCCCTTTTCGAAATCATTTTTAACTTGTTCTTTTCTATTGGAACTTCTAACCTGACCCCATTGCCTCTGGTTTCAATCTCTGCCCCCCCCGCTCGGAGAGGCCTTTCCAGGCTTCTGGAATCTCTCCCGACTTCCCTGACTTTTCACAGCTGGTCGCTAGAGGCTCAGACCCCTCCTCTGCCCTGGGGCCGTGCAGACTCTCCCTTTTCGAAATCATTTTTAACTTGTTCTTTTCTATTGGAACTTCTAACCTGACCCCATTGCCTCTGGTTTCAATCTCTGCCCCCCCCGCTCGGAGAGGGGCT